ATACACACACACACACACATGTAATTTTCTCTCCCCATCTATTGTTACTGGTCAGGTCAGCCTTCTGTGTGTGATAGATCTTTCTACCAGCTGTATCACATGACTTCCCTGTAAGCCAGTGAAATTCACATGGAACAAACGAGGGAGTGGCTGGCTCATTTGAAACATTAGTCCTGGTACACCTGTGTCAAAAAAGCTACAGTACACACACTGAGCAGGATAGAGAAACTCAGACAGGAAGGAGCGATAGAAAGGTAAGGAACTATCTGTACAGATGGAAAAATACTACAGGTGGCAAATAGACAAGTCTCGCAGCTGGTTATCGGACGCATAGTAGAAAGTGAGAAGAGAAGCTGGGATCATAACACAGCTGGGGAGCTGCAAGGTTAGTTCGAAGCAGTAGAAATAAACAGATAACAGTATACCTAACTAGGCGTCACTTGGACAGCAGGAGTTGTGAGCACTTTGACTTTTTTTTAAAAACTGGTTTACATTAATAATTTAGCTAAACATCAAAGAAAATGTAAATATACTGAGCATTTTACCATCTGGTATCATGTAAAATATGTTAAATGTTTTGCATTTAAACAGCTGTTGTTGTGTTTTTGCTCTTGAATATAGGCGTGTGTTTTAATCATTAGCTTTAAAGGTGAGTGGAGCTTTTCTTGTTTGTCCTTGTACTTATCAGAGGTTTTCATTGTGGATCTGTTTGTGTGTTAAAGGGCACAGTGGACCTGGAGCGTGAAGAGGGTGAAGAGTGTGAGGAGAATATGGAGGTTTTTGACGACAGCAGCTCCAGCCCTTCGGGGACCCTTCGCAACTACCCGCTAACCTGCAAAGTCCTGTATTCATACAAGGTGTGAAGCAGCATGCACACAGTTACAGGGTGACACACACCTGCATGCACACAGCATCAAATATCTGCCTACTAGAAGGGAAACACCTGCAGCACACAGTATTATTGTTGACATATGTATGCCATTTAAATACCTCATTAACTAATCATTAATAGAGAAGTGTTTGGTTTATAAGGTCTGGCTACTCCCTTTTTCTGTCCTTTCACATCAACTGACCTTTCCTCCTTTCATACTCTTCTACTCTCCTTCCCACTTTATCTGTTTTTCTTTCTTTAACTCCCGCTGTGTCTCTTCCTCAGGCCTCCCAACCAGATGAGTTAACTATCGATGAACAGGAGATGTTGGAGGTCATTGAGGACGGAGACATGGAGGACTGGGTTAAGGTACCCAATCGCAGTCAAGTGCTGTAGATGTGTATTGCATTTTTTTTGCCAGTTGAATAATATAATCAGCTCTGTTGTGCTACTGTCTGTACTGACATGCTTTTTGGGGCTTCTTTTGTTGTTGTTGTTGTTTATTTGTTTGTTTCCCAGGCACGCAATAAGGCAGGTCAGGTGGGCTATGTCCCAGAGAAATACCTGCAGTTCCCGACCTCCAACAGTCTGCTGAGCATGCTCCAGTCTCTGGCTACGCTCGATGCTCGGTCACACACTTCGTCTAACTCAACAGAGCCAGAGCTGCACTCGGGCTGCATAAATGGAGACACAAATAGTAAGTAACCCTGTAAGCACAGTTGCTGTGAAGGATTAATTAAACTTCATGGCAGTAGTTAAAGGAAAGAGGTTAATTCTAGTTGTACCCGTGTAAATGAGTTTTCACCCATAATGAGGTTATTGTGGGCCACTAACTGAGACATTTTTCTCTTTACTGCTTCTGTAGAGTACACTGAGTACCCTAAGCAGGGTATTATTGGAAAGGGGAAATGTAGGGGTTGCCCACTGAACCTTGCTGGGATGCTCTAAATAAACACCCTTGACCCTAATCATTTCAGTTCATTTACAATACTATACAAGGGTCTTGAGCAATGCTTCATTTCTTTATATTTTGCATCCAAGGAGATCATTTTTAAAGTGGTCTTGAGCAATAGTTATTCAGGCTTTCCGGAGGTTTTCCAAAGACCATCAAATATTGTATTTCCATGTATGTTTGCACTTTTAATAAATCACAGTACTGCATATCAATGAACTAGAACTAGTGCCTTCTGTAAAAATCCTATCTCATATTCAAAGAGAACAAAAAGAGAACAAGAGCGGAGCATTAACCTGACTGTTAACTGTTAACTTTTGCTGTTTTATTTCTGAAGCCCTGTGGGTTGTAATCAACCAGCCAAAGTATTCACAAGTTGATTTAAAAGTAAATTAAACTGGTAGACATAAAGTTTGAGCTGAAATTCAAGACAGCCTTAAAAAAGGAGCTGGAGTTACTTGTACAGGCCGTACCTATCTGGTCATCAATGCAAACAATGCATAACTTAGTTATTTCGTATTGGTCAAGCACCATTTCACTGACAACAAAAACAAGGAGAGGAAACTGGGTGGTTGTAACTTTTGCTATATAAAACTCTTTATTTTATGTTATTTTTTAGTCTTTGCATGTTTCTTTACCTGCCTTATTTAAAACCTTATCTTCTCCTATTTTGCTCTTGGTCTTACTCTTCATTCGTTTTTCTTTTTATTACTTTGTATCTGCTGTACCTGAATAGTTAGACCAGGCTCAGGAGCAAATCCACTGCTGTTTGTGTATCTTGTGCTCTCCAGCGGTGAATACCATTTTCTTAATAACAGTAAGAGCCCTGCAGACAAGAAACTGCATTTCCCTGAGAATAATTGTTCCGACGGTATACTTATAATTGTTTTTTCTCCCTCTCTCTCTATCGTCCTTTCTCTCTGCAGTGATGTATGTGCGTGCACTTTATGATTACGAGGGTCAGGCGGATGAGGAACTCTCCTTTTCCGAGGGAGCTGTGATCCGCTTGTTGAGCCGTGACACTCAGACAGACGATGGCTTCTGGGAGGGGGAGCTGAACGGGCGGGTGGGCGTTTTCCCCTCTGTGTTGGTAGAAGATCTTACAGAGAATGGAGAGACCAGCGCGGGAGGGGCAGGTGACACACAGGTACAGTAACACCTGTACACACATGAATTAATCTCACAGATAACATACAAGTCATCTTAGGTAACAGGACTTACTCTAGACCTGAATGAGACATTTGGTCTTATCAGTGTTTTCTCAGGGGAGAAATACCAAAGACTGTGTGTAGTCGACTGTGCCAGTTCATACCCCTATCCCTTCCTCCTTTCCTGCTTGTTGTCCAGTTGATCTATCAGCAAGTCAGAGTTCAAAAACAGTGCATCAGAACTGCCGTGTTTGTGCAGCATTCTGATAAAAAACCTGCACTGCAATCACAGAAAAGAGGTCTTATCTGTGCCACTGAGTGCTGCCCTATTAGAGGCTCAGCAGCAGGAAGGATATGGCCTCTCCCTTCCTATAAGCCTGTAGACATAACACGCAACCCAACATCTTTTAAGTACTATGGAGGGAATGATGGTTAAAAAAAGTATCCTGGTCAAGTTTTGTGTTGTAGCCCACTTTGTCTTTTCTTTATTTCCACCACTCTCTGTAGATCTCTCCTTCTTTGAAACTGCCATCTTCTCTGCCACCTCTTCCGCTGTACGACCAGCCTCCCATCAGCCCCTTCACCAGCCCCGAGACTTCCACCCCACCTCCTCTGCCACGTTCCCCTTCCGCTGCTCTTAATGGGGAGCACAAGCTTCCTCTGCCTGCCTCGTCACACAAAGGACCGCTGTCAGCTCACAGTAAGACAACCAATACAACAAGAACCATGTTTAACGAAAAGTGAGGTTTCTGAGGAAGGTAATTGGGGCTTTTAATCTGAAATTTTGTCTCGCTCACTCTGTAGATCAAAGCTCTGGCAGGAGTCCAGTATCTCCAGGATTTGCTAAGACTCAGCCGCCAAGATTCACTCCTGAAGGAGGCCCGGGCAAACTACGACCTGTTAGTATCAGTGTTACTCAAGAAGTGTTTTTTTGTGTACAGTGTGTGTGTGTGTGTGTGTGTGTGTGTGTGTGTGTGTGTGTTAGAGTTGTTATGTTTTCGAGCTGTCTTTTTATTTCCTCCCATCTCTGGAAAGCACAGAGGGAATGCATCCAAATTTGCAAATGGATTAGATTTTAGTGGTCAAAGGTCTTTCTGGGGTTTTTTATGGCTTTTCCCAGCAACAAAGACCTCTTCATCGTCATTCATACTACAACACAGTAATTTAGCCATAGATAAACAAAAGACCATGCTTTTTCACTATATATGAAAACATTCAGAGGGTAGGGTACACAGCATTTCTTTATCACAGACAAAAAATGACATGTATGGCTGTAAACTGCACTTCCTTTTCTTTCAACAGACATCTGTTGAAAGAGATCTTTCAAGACATCTCCTGGATTAAAAGTGTAGTTGAACTTCTTTACTCTGGTAGAAACGGGAGTTTCACTGGTCCGGCCCACATCCCCACCCTGCTGCTTAGCCTTTGCAAGTGGCTGACATCATTGCTAGCATTTACACTTGTGATGTTGTGCCTGTGTTACTTTATAATTTTGCCACTGAACACTAGTCGGCGGTGAGGTTTCTCTCTTCAACTCTTCTTCTCGATTAAAAAAAGGCATCAGAAAAAGAAGAGAAGCAAGAAATAAACGTTCACTGCGGGCCGCATCAGCGTGACGTGTAATTAGATTACAGTGTATGTCACAGCACAGGATTTCACAGGGACTTAAAGAAACTAATGAAGAAAATAATCAGCAGATGAATGTATGACATATAAGCAACCGTCAGTTTTTCGAAGACGGTTTGGCACGCTGTGCTCTGATGACATGTGAAGGACACTTAAGTGTTCGTTAAACTGTGTGACCTACAGATCCCAACAATAGGTTGAAAACACAGTGTTTTTGTTAGAGTCTAAAAGCAGACAATTCCCCACTTTTCCTGTTCGTTGATAACACATTTGTGTCTCGCAGCAGGAAGTGAACATTTAACTGTTTGTCAAATTAAGAAAAGTAGGTCGTCCCCGTTATCGCCTTGACATCAGTTTTTCTCACTTTGGCTTCTTTCTTTTCCTTACTCTTGTATTTAATGTGTTTTCTTTCTTCGCTGCAGGTGCGAGCCGCTCCTCCTCCACCCAAGCAGCACCCCCGCCGACAGCAGGAGAAGAGCGACAAGACGGAGGAGGTGGAGATCACGCTGGTGTGACAGACAAACAAACTGACAGCCGGTTATAGGCGCACAAACAGAAATGAAAACAGATGAAAAGCAGATGTATCCTACAGGCTTGGGAACTGAAGTGAAGTTAAATAAAGTGATGTGAAGTAAACTGAACTGAACCACGCTGACCCCTCCCCCAATCTCCTGAACTCCTGGCAGCTCCGTATCTTCTCCCTTTGAGCTAAGGAGGAGGAGAGCAGAGAGAGGGGACAAAGGCAGACTATCCGATGTAATAATCTCTGTATTAGCTTCCTAATGAAGTGCAGCAGTAGCCCACACCCCCCCGATCCTTTCACCCTACCCCGTCCTTTCATTCTTGCCTTAAAACCTCACCTCATTGGGCAGCAAATCACACCACGGTGAAGCAGAGGAAGAATGCCAGGAGAGGAGGAGGATGGGAAAAAGCTATTTGTGACAGATGACGGATTTGGCAAGTTTTCTGTTGTCAAGCTTTCCATAAGACCATTTATCTTTCTGCAGAGGCAGATCAGAGTCAATATTTAGATGTTTTCTCTTCCCAATAAATAATCATGAAGCATGAGAAAAGTTTTGAAGGCCCAAGAACTGACAAAATGTAGTAAAAGGTTATCAGACAAACCAAACATATAACTCAATACACTATAACTATAAAATTAGGGTGGGATGGAGGCAGATGATTGATTGTGGTGACCCCTAAAGGCAGAAGCTGACTTAAATGGCAGCCCACATGAACAGCTGATAACTTAGTATTAATCTAGTTGGCAGATATCATACTGGATGCAATATTTACGTTGCTTTAGCCTCTTTACAGTTATCACACATCTGCAAGCCACTTTGCAACCCAGCTCATGCTTTTCATGCTGTGTGTGTGATTTAATCAATGGTCAGTGTTGCTTGCAGCGTCATGTACAGATGTTGCTTTGGCCCAAAGAAGAGAGCCCAATCTAATTCAGTGCAGATGGAAATAAACAATCTGCTTTTTGCTACTGTATTCCCGGGGGCATTAGTTTTGCTTTAGTTTTTGTTTTTAAAAAAGTCTGATTCTTATCTGATACCTTTTCCTTACCTTTTGTGAGTGTTGTGGGCCCATCCAAAGAAAGCTGGCTGAAATGTAAGTAAAAACATGCCAAGTCTGTCACGTTTTTGGAGAGCAGTGGAGAACGAAGTGAACGACCAGAGACATTGAGCGGTGTGCGTGGACGTAGCGTCCCTCTCCTTGGGCCTTCCCTCGCCATATATAATCATTATCATCATACGTATTTAATGTGTAATAGTACAGTACATTACTGTCGTCATAGGAATGTTATGCTCAGCATTTCATATAGACTAACTCAGCTGAATGGAATACCATGTCTGATATGTAGTGGAAGTTTTATCTTCATCTTATACTGAAAGGGCATTGTAAATACAGCAGGAAGGAGAGCTCAAAGGAGGGAGAGGATGAAAGAAAACGAGAGATAAAGGAGGCTGGATCCTTCCCTCTGCTCTTAGCATCACCTCTCTTCCCGTCCCTCCTTTACGTCTCTCCCTCTTTCCTCTAAAGACGATTCTGTCCATTGGCAGTCAGTGTGAATCAGTGACTATCATATACATACATACACACATGCAGATACATTATACGACATACGCGTTGCTATATCTTCTCTCATTCTGTGCGCCGTATGTCTGTATCACTGATTGGTTCAGAGATGCGCTGCTGGTGCTTTTAAAGGCACTCAAATTGTTGGTATTCACTATGTGGCAACAAAGAAAAGTTTTATTTCAGATGATGTAGACACAGGAAAGTATTTGTGGCCGGGACTTCTTATTAGCACAGAACTGTATAGCTTTCATCCCTCTCATGCCGATTTGTTCACTGTTCAGTTCAACTAAGACACACGTTTACTTGACGCTCATTACATTTGCAGGTATAATTTTTCTCTCGTCTTGTCAAGCAAAGCCACCACATCTTGTGTCCTAATGCTAGAAACAGAAAGAGGTGTGTAAAGAAAAAAAATCTAACTAAATGGACAGAACTAGCAAATGACATTCAAATGGAGCTAAGTACAAATCTTTTGTGTGTGTGTTTTTTTTTTTACTCAAAGTAAATAAATGCCCCCATTTACCTTTACATGGCCCTAAAGCCTTTGAAACTCCTTGCCTGAAGGGCAGCGTAGCACTTTTATTAATTTCTACCTTACTTGGAAAGTAGCAGTACCCTCATATAGCATCGGCACGGGTGGCAAAGACTCTGATGAATCCTTGTAGTTACAATGATTCAGAGTTGTTGTTTTTAAGCTGATCCTATGGACTTTTTTTGTTTCAGTGTGACTGATGCTTAAAAAACAAAACAAACACAAAAAAAGATCTCCACTCTCCCAGCTCTTCCAAAGAGGTGGAGAGACGACTGTGGACAGTGAAATTTGCTGTCCTCCTTCATTTATAAGAACAAAACAAACAAAAATTACAGAAACCGATGCGTTTGAATGAATCATTTTCTTTTTTTGGTCTCGAAATAGGCCTGGGTGTTTATGAGTGTGATTGTTTATAAGAGAGAGAGGAGGAATTTTAATCTAATCTGTGTTTGACTCTGAAGATATGTCCCAGTTCCTCACTGCAAATGAACAAGTTTGGAGAGCGTTTGCACGGAATAAATTGCAAAGTAAAGTATTGTCCAAATTGTCAGCAGGAGACAAAACTGAACATTCAGGCAGTAATCCTCTTTCTTTGTCTCAGATAACATCCCTACTGCAAAACAAAAACAAAAGAAGAACTGTGGGTAATGGAGATTAATATTACATTTAAAACTCTAGCATTACTATGTAGTGTTGCACTGGAGCACATCTTCAGGTCTCCTGTAAGAAAAGTCTTAATCTGGAAGCAAATCGATTGTTTTCCCGTTGCACGGTGGAGGTGATTTCCAAAAGGAGAAGTAAGAAGTGAAACCACAACATTTTGTGTAGCATTCATCCTAGCAAACTTAAGCATGCTGGAATTAGTTGCATTTTTAGATACGACCCTCTGCTCTTCTGCTGTTGTACGGACTAGCATTGACTTGTGACAGTGTGGTCAAGGCGACTTGGAACAGCAGCCTGTCCTTGATCTCTCTGAGATCTGATTTTTACTGGTTTTCGAACTTGTTTTGAAGTTTATGGTTTTTCAGCATCCGCAGACATTCCCGTTATACTTACTCAGTCAGTCTGTCATATATAAAATTGATGACATTTCATTGCCAGTTGCCACTTTGAAGACGGATCGTTTCCCATCTTTAACAGTCCCTTTGGTCCGCGACAGTGTTTAATTATTTGGTATGGTTTTTATGTTTTAAATGACACTTTATTTTTCCTTATGTGGATTCAGAGCAGCACAGCTGCCGTTATTATTAACGATGTGGTGGAACAACTGGCCTCTCTCTTTATTAGACTGTTGCCATGGTGACAATATTGAGAACAGGTGCAAAAGTCTTTCTGCATATTATTATTGGATGTACAAAAACAACAACAAAAAAAACAAAGTTTGTATTTATTGTGTACAAATGTTAATTAATAAAAAATATGGAAAAGTTGAAAAGTTGCACGCATCAATTTTTTCAGACTGAGCGTGTTTGTGTGGATGTTTGACCAAAAGTGGGTGTGATCATGATAACACGCTCCACAGCACCCGAGGCCAAACTTCCTGAGCGGAGCTGCAGGAACATGAGACACAGCAGCAGAGACGACACAGAGCTGCTCTCCGTTTGGGACGCGCGATAAGTTCCTGCCAGGAGTTTTCCCTCCTTATGTTTTCTTATTTGAACAGCAGCTGTTTATCAGGCATGCACACCGGAGGAAAATCCCCTTTGGATTCTGGCTTCAGCACATCTTGTGTGAAAATCTACCTGTGCTCCAACCCAGAAGGTAGGCAATGATTCCTAATATGAAAGGCAGCTGTAATTAGGTGTGTTTTTAAAAAATATGCATGTTAGATTGTATCATGTTTTCTTGTGTCATTTGAGTTCTTGTTAAGTTGCATCCTGTTTGTGTTGTGTACAGACAGCGTGGTGGAGCGTAGAGCTCTGAGGGACAGTGTGTTCCCCAGATTCAGAGAGCACTGCAGACACTCGCTGGGACTGGATGTCAGGGTGAGCACACACTTTACTTTTTTAAAACCTTCCTGTTGCATCGAAAACATTGTCAGTGAAACAGTAGAAGTGCGTATGCGTGTGAGTTGTGTTTTTCTTGGGAATTCTTTCTGTTCTTTTAAAGCCATAAACAGGCTAAGGAAGGATGTGGGCACTGTTGCTTTATACATTAAAACGAGATTACTTTAATGGCATAAATGCTCACACTAATGACTTTTAGTGCTGGGAAGAGAACTAGATAGGGTCCACTGGAGGACACATTGTAAACTGCTTTGCTTTAAAGTTGTTTGTAATTAAATTAAAGGTTTTCTTTTTTACTCTTTATAGAAAGATCCTTGAAATGTGCATCTCTTTATTAGAGAAACGAGATAGAAAACACAGAATCTTAAAGCTATAAAAGTAAAGTCTCATTAATATTCTGTGTGGTCCATCACAAAGACACCCATGCGTAATGTCGCCAGCGACGGGGGATGACAGCAGTAGCATTTTAGCTGCTTGCAGGTATTTGTACTTTTAGTCTTCCACCGTTTTCCCTGAGGCCACCCCTGTAAAGATGCAGTCAATAACGTGCCTTAATTATATCTGACAACAAAGAGAATGAGCAGCTGTGAGGCGACTGTCTGTGTTGGTTTTCGTTCATGTGTATTAAATAAACATTGGGACAGTTCAGTCAGCACATTGTGGTGTGTACAATCAGCAGACAGAATAAAGAACGTGATGCCTCACCCCACCTTAGACGCTTGCTCTCACTGGATCTGGGCTCAGCTTTCTTAATTTTTTATTTCCACTCCACATTTTTTAACTCTTGAGTGTGTTTCTGTCGGCAGGTGATAGACCCGTTTGAATCTAGTGATCCCAGTCGCTGGCCAGATGAAGACACCAGGCATCAGATGATACATGAATGCAGAGGAAGCTCAGCTGGACCTTTTTTACTGGTAAATAAAGTCCTTGGGTAGAATCTCAAGTGTAAACCAACAGGATCTCAGAAGTCCACTGACCCTTACTTCTCAGCACAATGAGTGATGACATGCTCTACAGGAC